GAAGTTCGGTGTGACTTTGAAGAAGGATTTCTTTTAAGAGGGAGAGAATATACCTATATACCCTCTTTGTTCCTTTCTCAGTGCTATTGTTTGAATATAGTGTCTGCAACTCTAATAGTTGTCTTTGGATAGCATGAGGGCCTTTACCTTGGGATGGTTCAGAGAGCTGGAATAATTTCCAGTTTCTGATTAATATGGAACTGCCTTAAGAGAGATGCTTATGTCTGGGATTTTATTGTGTGCCACATACTAGTTAGAGAAAGACACTGTTGATTTGGGTTTCTCTGATCTAGTCAATCAAGCTTAGTCCTAATTGATATATTTTGTCAACTATTATAAATTTTTATTATTCACCTCTTTTATATCTTTATGTTTTGCTTCATTCATTGACCATGGGCTAAGAAATATGAGCTAATATTCTAGTATTATTAAAGTTCAATTAATTTCTTAAATGTTTCTTTACTGTTGAGTTTATATATTTAATATTATATGATTTGATATAATTTTGCACATTTGTGAGAGTGATTTTGATAATATTAAATATTCCCAGAATCATTCCAAGAAATCCTTCCTAGTCTTATATAACTTTAAAAAACAAATTCTCCATCAACTTAGCTCATATTTGATATTAATATATCAACCCACACTTTCTTTTCCTCCTATTTACCTGGTCTTTGCTCACATTTTAATTTCAACCCTTTTGAATTACTTTGTTTTTAACAATCTCTTGTATGTAGTTAATAGTTTGGTCTTGGAGATTAAATCTGACCATTTTTTCCTTAAAAAGATAAAATAAGTTGATCCCATTTATTTATATTGCATAACCAATTTAGTTGACCAATTTAGTTTAGATGTGATCTAATTATAGTATTCTATATTGGTTTATTTTCAAAACTTCTTTGATTCTTCATTTGGTTTCTCTTCATAATTATATAACCTTTGTATATTTTTCATAATTTGAAAGGAGTGATTCTTTCTTTAGTTATTTTAATAGTTATTATTTTAATACTGAATAATGCAGATAACCCTTTACTTCTTAATTTGCGACCAGCGGGTTCACTTGTCACTGTAGTCCTCCATCTGCGCCCTGCTGCTGCACTGGCTCCAGTGGGGGCCGGGGGGCTCAGAGGTGAGCATGTCTCTTTTAGTCTTGAGGTCACAGGGGTGATCCCCAAGGAGCAGATTATGGATAAGAATGTAGACAGGGTTGGGGCTAACTTAATAACATAGAATATGCAGCCTCCATTTGTACTCTTGCCCCAGACCCTGCAAATGTTAGGGGCAAGCATGAATTTGAAAAAATCACACAGAAAAATAATTATCATTAAACATTTCAAGCAACATTAATTATGTTAAAAAGCTTCTTCCATCCATAAATATTGACGTTAAAGTAATATATTTACCATAACTGTCATCAGTAGTATTGTAGCTATGAAAGACTCGTTCTTTCCAGCTTCAGGAGCAAAAGTTCCTGAACTCCTCCCATACTCAAACTCTTCCAATCTGAACCTACCAATTGATGAAGTTATACTCATTTTCAACATTTGAGCATGTGAAATGTTTTATGTGTCATTCATTTATTATGAATTTTTACGTTACATGAATGCATCACTCTGGCTTTGGAAACAATTGTATATACATTGCTCCTAAATTCACTATCCATTGCTCTTCTAGTCCTTTTATCACTTGAAGCAAATATTCTTCTTCTGTTTTAACTTAATGAACAATTTTTTTCTTTATCACAATTTATGAACTCAAAGAATTGCATTGTGTTAATGGCCACCTGAGCCAATATGTAAAAGAAGTCTGATGACACCAGTGTGACAAAGAACAAGAGCGTCATGTGTGATACTGATAAAAATGTTACAAAGTTACCAGATAGTAACAGTGAATTACGTCTGCTTGAAGAACTCACATAGAACTTACCTGTTTTCTAACCTTAGAGCAGTAATGCTATAGGTAGCTTTAATTGATCATTAATATTCAAATCCTCAACGTGATTTCTTTTTGCCCCACAGTAAGATGAGGCATTTCCTGACTGATTTCAAAGGGAAAGATTCTTCCTTATAGCAGAGAGTTTTTTATTAAGTGTTTCAGGAAGAGTCATTTTACCACTGAAATATTTAATACAGGTGTATTGTCAGGTTGAAGGTGAGAAAGGCTGACCAAGCGCTCGCTTGGCTCTGATGGACAACACAGGCCTGTTTTCCACATTGTGGTCTATGTGAATTTTTTATTTTTTTCTTTCGAAATTATTAAAGCCAACCTGAGATCTCGTTCTTAATGTTGACAACTTGAAACATCAATCGTTTTATAATTATTTCTGGAGAATTATATCATTTTTCTACCCATAAACTGATGAATGGGTTGGAACTAATCTAAAAGTGGAGAACAGATTCAAGCTCAAAGCTCTCAAAATGTTTTATCTTATTAAAAATAATTTTATATTGAGAGACTTCAGGAGAGATGAATAGAAGTTGAATGCACACAGCAAACTTCCACCCCCACTAAATAAGCAACAGACAAAACCGTCCATCGTAACATAAGGATGGAGAGGTGTGTAGAGATGCGAGAACGGGCCAGGGAGGAGCAGAGCGGACGGTGTGAGCTGCAGACCCGGAGACGGTGGCGGCTGGCCGGAGGGAGGCCCAGCCCCGGGACCCTGGGGAGGGAGACAGGAGACGGCTCCAAAAGCAGCGGCCCCCAGATTTCGTGTGTAGTGAGGAGAGAGGAAGATAAACAGGAGTGGCCGACACTGTGCACCGGCAGCATGCCACGCAGCCGCCCACCCTCGCCCTCCAGGCCGCCTTCCCTGGCCCTGTCCTCCCCTCGCAGCCTCCGCCGCCACCCCCGCACGCCCCTCGCCCCTCACAGCCACCGTCCCTCTCCAGATCCTGTCCTCACAGCCTTCTTCCCTCTCCAGATCCTGTCCTCACAGCCGCCCTCCCTCTCCAGATCCTGTCCTCACAGCCTTCTTCCCTCTCCAGATCCTGTCCTCACAGCCGCCCTCCCTCTCCAGATCCTCCCCTCACAGCCGCCCTCCCTCTCCAGATCCTCCCCTCACAGCCGCCTTCCCTCTCCAGATCCTGTCCTCACAGCCTTCTTCCCTCTCCAGATCCTGCCCTCACAGCCACCATCCCTCTCCAGATCCTCCCCTCACAGCCACCATCCCTCTCCAGATCCTCCCCTCACAGCCACCATCCCTCTCCAGATCCTCCTCTCAACAGCCGCCATCCCCTTCTCTCAATCCTGTCCTCACAGCCCTCCGTTCCCTCTCCATGATCCTCCCCTCACAGCTGCTTCCTCTCCAGATCCTCCCCCTACAGCCGCCTTTCCTTCCAGATCCTGTTCCTCACAGCGCCTTCCCCCAGGATCCTGTCCTCACAGCCGCCTTCCTCTCCAGATCCTCCCCTCACAGCCGCCTTACCTCTCCAGATCCTCCCCTTTTTTTCCCCCCCCCAACAGCCGCCATCCTCTCCAGATCCTGTCCTCACAGCCCCTTCTCCTCTCCGATCCTGTTCCTCACATCCGCCTCCTCTCCAAGATCCTGTCCTCACAGCCGCGCCTCTCTCTCCAGATCCTCCCTCATAACCACCATCCCTCTCCAGTCTTGTCCTTCAAGACCGCTTCCCTTCTCCAGATCCCGCCCTCACAGCCGCCTATCCCTCTCAGACCTGTCCTCACAGCCGCCTTTCCCTCTCCATCTGTCTCACAGCCGCCTTCCCTCTCCAGATCCTCCCGCTCAAGCCCGCCATCCCTCTCCAGATCCTGTCCTACAGCCTCCTTCCCTCTCCAGATCCTCCCCTCAAGCTGCCTTCCCTCTCCAGATACTCCCCTCACAGCTGCCTTCCTCTCCAATCCTGTCCTCACAGCCGCTCTTCCCTCTCCAGATCCTGTCTCTCACAGCCGGCCTTCCCTCTTCCAGATCTCCCTCAAAGCCGCCTGTCCCTCAGATCCTGTCCTCACAGCCGCTTCTCTCAGATCCTGTCCTCACAGCCACCTTCCCTCTCCAGATCCTCCCCTCACAGCCACCATCCCTCTCCCAGATCCTGTCCTCACAGCCACCTTCCTCTCCAGATCCTCCCTCACAGGTGCCTTCCCTCCCAGTCCTCCCTCACAGCCCCTTCCCTCTCCAGTCCTCCCTCACACCACCTCCCTCTCACTCCTCCCCTCACAGCCGCCTTCCTCTCAGATCTCCCTCACAGCCTCCTTCCTCTCCAATCCTCCCTCACAAAGTCGCCTTCCCCTCCAGATCCTCCCCACAGCTGCCTTCCCTCTCCAGATCCTCCTACAGCTCTTCCCTCTCCAGATCCTCCCCCACAGCACAAGCACATCCCTCTCCAGATCCTCCCCTCAAGTCCGCCTTTCCCCTCTCCAGATCCTCCTCACAGCGCTCTTCCTCTCCAGATCCCTCCCCTCACAGCCACCTTCCCGGTCTCAGATCCTCCCTTACAGCCGCCTTCCCTCTCCAGATCCTCCCCTCACAGGCCCCTTCCCTCAGATCCTCCTCACAGCCGCCTTCCCTCTCAGATCCTCCCTCACAGCCACTTTCCTGGCCCGCCCCCCCTCACGCGCCTCTCCTCCAGATCTCCCCTCACCAGCCACTTCCCTGGCCGCCCTCCTCACAGGCTTCCTGCCCGCCCTCACTCACAGCCGCTTCCCCTGTGCCCGCCCTCCCTCACCAGCCCTTCCCCTGCCACGCCCTCTGCCTCACAGCCGCTTCCCCTGGCCCTCCACTCTCCCTCACAGCCGCTTCCCTGGCCCCCGCCTCTCTCACAGCCGTTCCCTGGCCTCGCCTCCCGGCCCACCCTCCACTCACAGCCGCTGTCCTGGCCCCGCCTCCACTCACAGCCGCTCCCCTGGCCCCGCCCTCTCCTCAAGCGCTTCCCCTGGCCCCGCCCTCCCCTCACAGCCACTTCCCCTGGCCCTGCCCTCTCCTCACAGCCACTTCCCCTGGCCCCGCCCTCTCCTCACAGCCTCCTTCCCTCTCCAGATCCTCCCCTCACAACCTCCTTCCCTTTCCAGGGCCTCCCCTCACAGCCGCCTTCCCTAGCCCTGTCCTCTCCTGGCCCTGTGGACGGAGCTTCGTTTCCTGAGAGGGTCGCAGGTGCGGGGAGAGCCCCTCACCAGGTGAGTGGAGTGCTGCCTGCACTGACCCCCCCTCCCTGTTGCCTCAGGACCTGCCCCCCCCCAACCCCGTGCGGGGACTTCACTCTGGAGCCTCCTGGAGGTTTCCTGTGAGAATGGGAGGCCGGGGCAAGGCCAGAGACAGTGGGGACAGCGCCCCAGCCCGCCCTGGTGGGATGCTGGGGCACATATGCTCAGGATATTCAGTCGGCTTACGGGCAAAATGAAAGGATTGTCTGACGTGAGGAAAGATCTGATACAACAGGTGGAAAGTAAGATAAACAAACAGAAGACAGTAACATGGAGGGAACAAAGTCTGTGTAGATTTAAGAAATAATTCAAAACCTATAATTAGCATCCTTGGAAAGATTGGAAGAAATATTGCTACCATCAATCAAAAAGAGTACAATAAAATGAGAATTGTTAGAGGAAACAAAGACTTCTTGGGAAAAAATATATACATACACGTATATGTAGCAGAAAGGAAAATCTTAACATAATATTCCAGAATTACCTTCTCAAAGAAAGGTAAGGAAAAGAGGAATTGTTTTTTCTATGAGTAGAGAAAAATGCAAAGAGACTAATAAAAATGGGCCAAAGAATTTTAAAAAAAGTTCAAGAAGTTGAAAACAAATTCAAAGCATTCTAGAAAAGGAGAACCAGGAAAGTGGAGAGAAAAATCCATGATGAAATACAGTTTTTAGTGAAGACCGTGTGCTTCCCTTGCACACTCACTGGGGAATCTACTGGATGGTGAATTCCACCAAGGAAGAGGCAGGTGCAGGGCGTGGAAATCGGGGTCTGTGACAGGAAAGAGGGATGGGGACAGGAAGAGAGGCTGTCCAGATGAGCCGCCCAATGGCTGTGAGTTCAATCTTTTCAGAAAGATAAGGCCTGCGAAACTGTTTCCTCTGGACATTCTCAGAGAGGATTTAGAAAGTAGGTGATAAGTTTAAAGGTGTTAAATATCTAAAAGACTATAAATGAAAATTATTTACTCCAAGAAAAGAAATTTTATAAGAAAGAAAAAGTAATTGCAATTCATTACATGGTTCAGCTCTGAGAAGTGTTTACTTCATCCAAAATGAATACAGAAGCTATGAATTTGTACAATCAAAATTACAGTCCATGTGCTCTGGGATGGGGGTGGGTAAGAGAACACATGTGTGCAGGTGGGAGTAGGGTATAGAGAAGAGCAAGAAGCAGGGAGACCAGTATGGAACACCTAACCTGGGAAAAACAGAAAGTGCTTACAAACATATAATGTAGAGACATGGAAGTGAAAAGTAAAATTCAAAAAAAAAGATGGAATAGATACAAATAAAAAATAGAATGGAGAGAGGGAGAAAAGGGACAGTTTTCTATGTATATATAATGATTTATCTTTTTAATCTAGAGCTTGCACCAGTTTGATTAGGAAAACAAAAAGCCAACTTAAGTGTTTTTTAAATTGTATGTCAGGTTCATCAGTGGGTTATAAAATTTATTAGTCACTCTGCTTTAACAAAATGAAGTACAACTGGAAATAAAAGTATATAAAATATCAAGGTAATAGGAATACTGGTATTGATGCAGTAAAGGTGAACAGTGTCTGGGTGGGTATGGGTTTGTGTGCTCTGTGTTACTGTGCTTGAATGTAAAGTGTGCTCATGTACTTCTTATTTGAAAATACATGGCTAGTCTAATTTTCTAATCACACAGAGGGAAAGAGCCCCAAGTAGGTATTGACTTTCACACATAAGTGGACACAGCTTAGAACAAAACCTCCTCTTATACCAGGGTTTTTACAGTAAAACATCTTGTTTAAGGTAATGGAGGGTCCATGGACTGTGAAATCAAAAGGCCCTGGGGTGATAATCCAGCATTACTATTTAATTGATTTATAAATATTATAGGCCCCTGTAGTTTTCTGTCACCTTTTCCTGTTCTTTTTGTCCATATCATTTATAACACGTTTATCCTTTTATTAACATGCTTGAAGCTTCCTGCGGGCCCAGAGATAAATGTATATTACTGTTTACAGTTTCTGTGGGTCAGGAATTCAGGAGCAGTTGATCAGTCAGTTCAGGCCCAGAGACCCCCATAAGGCTGCCAGAAACCCTCAAAATCATGGCCAGCACTACAGCCGCTCAAAAGCTGCACGGGGCCTGGGGCATCTGCTACCCAGAAGGCTCTCTCACCTGCTTGCCTCCTGGTACAGGCTATTCGAGAGGAGCCTCCGTTTTTTCCCAAGTATGTCTCTTGAGTGTTCTGACAGCACCATGGCTAGCTTTCCCCAGAGCAAGACATCTGAGGGTGCGGAAGAGTGGCACAGGCTCAGAGAGCCAGGTGGAAATACTCTTTTCATCACCTAGCCTCAGAAGTCACATGGCATTTTCCTGGCATATTCTGTTTGTAAGACGTAAGTCACTGAATCCAAAACATCTGTAGACACATTTTAAAACTGCCACAGTTTTTTTTGAGTTTATTTCCTTCTAACTGAGCTGTTTAGCCAGTATTGTGGGGGACTCATGCTCCTATCTCACTGGTCTGCCTTCCTCAACAACAGATTTGCACTGTGGAGATTACAGAGTGGTTGGTGGAGCTCTGGCTATTCTATTGCTAAAGGCTTTTTTTAATGAGAAAGAAAATGATAACAAAATAAGTCTTGGAACTTCACAAAGGAAATAAGAACATTGGAATGGGTAAAAAGGGTAAATAAAACAGACTATTCTCATGAGTTTCTTAACTCATATTGGATGGTTGAAACAAAAATTATAACAACATCTAATGTGGTGTTACCTATATAGAGAGGAAATATTCAAAACAATTATGTTTAAAAAATAAACCTAAATGGAGGTAAGGTTTCTGTACTTGTTCAAAGAGGTAAAACCTCAATGTTAGTAGCCTGTTATAAGTATGTATTAATATGTTTTAGTATCTAAAGCAACCAAGCTAGACCATATCTTTTGTCATAAAATAAATCTCAACAAATGTAAAAGAATTGGAATCATCCAGAGTATATTCTCTGACCCTATGGAATAAAACTAGAAATTAATAATGGAAAAACAATACAAAAATCTCCAAACATCTGGAAATTAAATAACACATTTCTAAATAATCTATGAGTCAAGGAAGAAGTTTGAAATAAAATTAAAAAATGCATTGAACTGAATAAAAATGAACACAGAACATATCAAAGTATGTGGGATGCAGCTAATGTGGTGCAGAGAGGGAAATTTATAGCAAAACATGCTTATAATTAGGAAGAAGAAAGTTCTCAAATTAATAATCTCATCTCCTACCTTAAGAAATTGGAAAAGATAAGCAAAATAACTCCAGAAAAGAAGGAAGAAAATAATAAATATAATAGAAAAACTCAATAAAATTGAAAAATAAAATAATATGGAAAATCAATGTAAAAAGCTGGTTTATCAAAAAAATTAATAAAAATGATAAAATTTTAGCAAGACAGACATGGGAAAAAAAAACAGATCACTCATATCAGTAATAAAACAGGGGCAACTACTATGGATCCTAAAGCCACTAAAAAGATAACGAGGGAATTTTACAAATAACTTTACACTCATAAATCTAAAAACTTAGGAGAAATGAATCAATTCCTTAAAAACTTCTAGCTACCAAAACTCAGCCAAGATCACATATATAACCTGAATAGTCCTATACCAAGTAAAGAAATTAAATCTGTTATTAAAAAGCTCCTGGAGGCCAGGTGCAGTGGCTCACGCCTGTCATCCTAGCACTCTGGGAGGCCGAGGCAGGTGGATCACTCAAAGTCAGGAGTTCAAAAACAGCCTGAGCAAGAGTGAGATCCCCGTCTCTGCCAAAAAACAGAAAGAAATTAATTGACCAACTAAAAATATATAGAAAAAATTAGCCGAGCATGGTGGCGCATGCCTATAGTCCCAGCTACTCCGGAGGCTGAGGCAGAAGGATTGCTTAAGCTCAGGAGTTTAAAAAAAAAAAAAAAAGCTCCTAGAAAAAAAGTCAAGAAAAATATCTCAATTCAGAGAACAGCCTGAGCTGCATTGAGCTGTGCGTTGTTTATTGCACCCCAGAGCTTGATTAGTACAGTAAATCTTTTAAATTAGCATTGCCTGTTTAAAAAAAAAATAAAAAGACAGCAAAAATATTTTCCCTACAACAAAAAGGAGGATGTTTGCATTATTGACTTGTGTCATTCCATGTGTCTATATGTTCTAACAATGAGAGGTGTTTGCATGATTCACATGGGAAATCTCACAGTATTGGTGAGTGCTGGAAAGCATTCTATGCAGCGAAGTGAGGCGTATTAAATTGAAAAAAATGTGTTTTAAGAGATAATTTTTTTGCTTTGACTTTTCCCCTGGATATCATTGTCTTTTCCACTTGTGGCTATGTATTAATGATGTTCTAGATAAGAACAAAAAGATATAAAATGTGAATACTGTGTTATTTCACAGCTGTCTGATTTTACCCATGTTGCTCGTTCCATAGACCGGTTATTCCTGCCATACTTCCCTGGCTAAGAACCCTGGTTCTTTAAGGTTCAGGAGTCTTATGTCTTAAAAGACCTGTTTTCCTACTTTCCCAAGACCTTCTGCAGGTCTCTGGTGGAGGAAATATGTCACATTTGCCACCCTTGATCCTGCCGTTGATAAAACTGTGCTCTGACCTGCTGTCCTTTGGGAAGCTAGTCCCTCACCCACTCACAGATCAAAGATTTGGTAGGAACTCTTTTCTACCACTGCTTGAGTGTTTGGTTAGCATCCTCTGCGTTTCCCGTTTGCTACAAGGGATTTGTCCAGTTTTGCCTATGCAACCAAATCAGAACCAACGTGATTCAAAGAGAGAACTGCTGAAGCTTCCCGGGTGGAGGAACTCCTGTTTTCTTGTGGGTGAGTTATAGGAAAAGAATCTCTTGCTTTTGGGGAGGTGAGCGTTGTAAGTGCCATGGCCATTGTTGAGAGCTGTGAGGCACCCGAGTTTGCTGGGGCGGAGTTTCATGTTGGAAGGCCACTGAT